GGGCGGGGCGGGAGGGGTGCGGCAAGGGGGGCAGGGACAAGGAAGAGAGGAGGAGGAGGCACAGGAGTATTGCGATGCGTGAAGCGCTGGTAGTAGGGGAGCGTCCTGTCGAAGGTGACATCACGAGAGTGGTAAAAACGGTGGTGTGAGGGGTGATAGAATAGCCAGTCAGAGGCGTCAAGCGGGAACCCCAAGAAGACACAAGGAAGAGTGCGGGCTGAGAGATTGTCTGTGGTAGTATCGCGAACGTGAGCTAGGCTGCTCCAGACGTGGAACGCAAACGTGTCACCAGGAGACCCGGTCCATAGGAGGGTCGGCGAAACCTATGGTCGCTGGGAGCGTGGCCACATGTTAAGCTGGTGAGTAGCGTAGCGTACGACGAACGGCCACAGAAAATTGGGTGCATCGGCGACTAACGAAGGCGCCAATGTGGTGTGGGCTTGCGGCGGCTGGCGCTGGTCGGCACTAGCTGGTGGCGGCTGGCGTTAGCCGGCACGAGCTACGCGACGAGCAGAGGAGGGCGGGAAGGGGACGATCTACAAGGCGCGCAACTAGGGGCGAGGCGCGCTAGGCTAGGGTGTGCTAGGGCGGAAGTGTGAGTAGAGGGCGAGACCTAGCTCTAGATGCCATGTTAGAATGTCGAGAGAAAGTTGACAAAGGGAGGAAAGGTGAGGATTTCAAAGGTGGGAATTTACCCTCTAAGAACTGACCTAACTAAGGCTATAATAAATATATTATACCTAGCATATACAATTACAGTTATTGACAACTTCACATCTGCAAATTACTTGAGTCACTCTACGGCATCAAACAGGCTCCTCTCTTGTCGCAGCAGCATGTTCACAAGGTCCTGATTTCACTCGACTTCGTGCAGCTGGCCCACGATCCTGGAATGTACAGACTTGAATTTCGGGGACACTTCAGTCTTCTAGTCGCCTACGTGGATGACTTACTGTACACCAGCTCGTGCAATAGTCTTCTGACGCACATGGAGAAAAGAATCCAAACGATTCTTGTAATTATTTCTCCAAACGTCACCCAATTTCTTGGGTTAAACGTCGACTGCGGCCCCGATGCCATCTACCTTTCTGTAAGCAAATACGCAGAAACACTTGCGACGAAGTTCGCCATCGCTCCAACCGGCCTCACCACTCCATTTCCTCATATTCCAGTCGATCACATACCTAGGAGTTACTTCAAGAGGCGAAAATCGCAACGACACGTAACTCCAAGTTACTCTGCGACAACCAGAGCGCAATCAAGATTGCAAACAACATGGCTTCGTCAACAAGACAAAACACATCGCCCTCCGTTACTTCTTCGTCAAGGGCGAAATCGAAAAAGGGAAGGTCGTCTTGAAATACTGCCCTACAGAAGAAATTATGGTTGATTTCCTGACGAAGCAACTCCCATGCGGCAAGTTTCAGTGTTTCTGCAATTGGTTGGAATCTGCAAATGCGGCAACACTTACCCAGAGACATACACTTAGGAATGAAGGGGAGTGTTGAAGTGTACTCGGCATAATTTACTTATGCATTCCTGATATAACATTTAGACTGTACTTGTTGCGCGACATCTCATATGGAAGGACGCGCGCGATGACGTCAGTAGTAGCGAGACAACGCGGGAACAATAGGTTCGCGCGTATAGTCACCCGGAGGTTCCTGCCACTCTCAATCACACGAACAGTCACTAGTCATATCACGTGAATAGTCGCGATACACTACGAAAAGGTACATTCCAAATAGGTATTTCATAGACTATAAATATGTTTGCATTACTCATTATTATTATCCTTGTCATTTCTGACATTTCCAATACAAAGTGTAAAGTCTTCCGCTGACTTTTACTCGTGGTTCTACCAACTCTAAATCCTGGCCACCCTAAATACGTGGTTCACTTCTACATTCAGTGCGATTGCATGGCATCTAGGGCTTCAGAAGTGAGGACAAAATGCCATGAAATGTTGTATATCAGGGTGTTTTTTTAGGGTCGTCCTGTTTTTTCAGCTTCTGATTAATCCTAGGCCTGAATTTTAGGGGTTCTCATTTGAGCAGGCCTGAAATATTGTATGTTATTGTTTTGGTCACTTTGAATTATCAGCCTTAACGGATTTCCAGCCTGAAACAGAATCCTATCTGACTGGTCGAGGCGAGCGGGAGCTGCTGTGAGGGGCGGGACTTGTCCTTCGCCAAAATGACGCAGATGACGCAAGCTGGAGCAGATGTGAGGGGCGTGATTGGTCCTTCGTCAAGATCACGCAGGCAGTTTGACGCGAGCAGGAGCAGGTGTAAGGGGCGTGACAGGACCTTCGGCAAAATGACGCAGGTAACGCGAGTTGGAGGAGATGTGAAAGGCGTGATTGGTCCTTCGCCAAAATCACCCAGGCAATCTGACGCGAGTTGGAGCAGGTGTCAGGGGCGTAACTAGTCCTTGGCCAAAATGACGCTGGTAGTGTGATAATTTGTACGCAGTAAAGTCCGATCCGATGTAAGGATCCGAAACCTAAAAAATGTACCTGATGAGTCAGGCTTAAATTGTTTTTGGCTTGACAACACATTCCATGTCTAACATAATGGCTAGGTCACCCAACCTAAAAAATCGCCAAGGTTCAACCTCTGAAAATTTTCAGTCCTGATCATTCAGTCTTCGGAAAAATTTACCGTAAAGAAAATTGCAACTTCTAAAATTCGACCCTGAAAAACTGGGGCTCCTGCTGGGGGCACCCTGAGCCAATAGCCCTCAAAATCCAATCTGAAACCTTGATGGCAGCATTGTTTCGATGGCAGTGGCTCATGAAAGTGGTGGTGTGGTTCATGTAGAGCTTGCTGCGCGGCTGTAGCCAGTTAACAAAATTGAGGCCTTGGACTGTTGGAAGACAAGTAGGGTGGCTGGTTGGACATGGATTAATGGATCACAACGGATGAACATGCCTACCAGCTGGAGACTGAGGGAAAATTACTGGTGTAGTTTTTGGATTGCGTACATGTAAATTATGAATGCATTAATTATTATGAGCATGCTTTTTGCAAACGAGATAGCTGATGTTGCCAGTGTAGGATAAGTCTTGTACCGTGCATGTCATTGCAGTTCAATTGAAATAGCGATAGTTTTGGTATGGGGGATGCCTGCTGGATGCAGATGCTCTGGTGAAACTTGGGGCTTTGATGGTCATGATAATCCACGCGCAGATCGAATATTGGGGTTGCAGTCAACTCAGTGGGGAAATTTATTGCTGTTGCCATCATGCTGACATGGCGCGTTTCCATACGTTTGAAACTTACTACTGTACCTCCTTGAGTTTAGGGTTTAGTCATCCCAAAACGGCATTCGGGCTCCTATGGGTTTTATTTTGTTTTGCCCCGGGCATCCTGGTTGCCTGACGTGCGTACCAGGGCTAATTTTTCGTTTTCTAGGACCCAGCGGTCTCAGGATTCGCGTCACTAAATACCCTGAAAATTCAGCATTCCCAGGGAAAGCTTTCTTAATTTCAGGATTACTTTGACCTTTCAATCTGAATTTCAGAGTGTTTTTTGGAACTCCCTACATATAGGCGGAACTTGCGGGCACTTCGAGTACAAGCAGGACGGACATCGATGGAAGTAACGGAGAAGAATACAGACGACACACTTGCTGCTGTTGCTGTCCCTCAGTACCACACCAAGTTCGACACTTTCCTTGTCAATCGCGGCAGAAATGCGTACAAGGGACAGTGCGAAACCTTGCTAAGGTGATATTAAGGGGTTGTGATAGTCTGAAAGCCCTGTACTTCTGTAGGTGTGAAAGTTCCACGGGTCACACCTTCAGATTGTGTGGAAAATTGGTCAGGGCTGGAATAGGGGGAAGGGTAGGGTTATAATTCCAGCACGGGAAAGTTTCCATTCCAGTCGGATAGTCAGGATATTTTTTCGCGCAGTCCGGATTTCGCAGAGTGTTCCTGGGAAACGCGCGGAATCAGTCAGAGGTTTGTGATTCTGAAACCCTCAAAATCAGGATTTCAGCGGGAAAGACCCGGAATGTACCTGACATTCCGGATGTTTACCCTTGAACCGAGAGCCGTGGTGCGTACCCAAGCTAGCCCGAAAGTGTTTTGTTTTGCAGCAGGTTCGGATGACAGGTTTCATATAGCTGCCTGTTTTGGCTCCGAACCTCTAAAAGGGCACCAAGTCATCACTCGCACGTGTTGACGGCGAAAGAAAGAAATCCCCCTACCAATTTGACTGCAGAAGCTAAGACCCCTCGAAGTTAGCCAGGCAATGAGAGTCAGCTCTCTAGAAACCACACCGTCATTAGTTCGCGCCTGTCACCAGAGCCCAAGGGCAGGCAACCAGGAAATCAGCCTCACCGAAGCTTGTAACTGATTGGTTGAATCTGCTAAACCAAGGGTGCACCTCCCGCCAGCCACTGACCCAAGTCAGTCTTGGAATCTGCGCGCATACACGCGCAGGTGATGAGGAGGGCGACTCGCAACAGGCGGATTCCGCAACGCTCTGTTTGCTCGCCGAACACAAATATTTCCCAGCTGATTTTTGGTTGGGACGCGCAACCTGGATTGCCCCCCTCCGCCAGGCTCAGGCGGCGGCGGAATCCCCGAGATCTGAGTTTCACAGTACAGTACAGAAGGGGAAGGGTTCATACGCGACAACAAGACCAAGGGCAGAAAAATCACCAGAACGTCGTCCTCCAATCAACAGTCAGTGAGAAATTACCTGAAAACGATGTACAGTTTAGGAATTGACGAAACACAGGATGCTACATTTCTGAAAACAATCGTGGATTGCTTCAAAAATTCGGTACACTACATAATGGACTTTATGGTGATGGCGTCAGGACCGAGGCAAAGCTGGGCAGAACCGAGCAATTCCCCAGGCGGACGGTCCCCTGGTCTCCTCTTGCCATTCCCGCATCCTCCATTCTGTCACCTGACTGCAACCCTTTCTGTCAAAGGCACCTCCTCCCCTCCCCCTCCCCCCACACGGTGATCGCGACGGGCTTCTTTCCAAACATCAGCTTCTCACCTCCACCCCTCAACTGTCAAGGGTAGGCCCACTGGTCTCTGCAGTCTAGATGTAAATGTGCACTCAGACAGCGTGACATCTGCCTGGAACCGGCATTTATGGTCTTTGTTGTCTTGCCTATCGCCTGTCGGCGTATGCCGTCAATGGATGACAAGGGTGACTGCTAGTCACTCTTTCCCTTTGAACGTGCTGGAGCTGCCAGCTTATCGGAACAGTTCTGGAAGCCAGAGCCAAAGCTGCTTATTCCACATTAAAAAAAACCGATCAAAGCCAAATCGATGGCCGACTCTTCCACGTGAACAGCCCGAGGTCTGCGAAAGGTGCCAAAGTCTAGCGAGCAAGCCAAGACTTTTCTTTAGCAGCAGCACCGTTTCGTGACCCGACCCCACCAACCATGTGGCGACTGCGGGAGACGAAGGTAGGTCGCGCGGTCTGGCGCGCGTGGTGCCTGGCGGAAGTATGCTTCAGCACCGTGTTGCACCTGACGTACGCGGCGTGCATGGTGTACTGGGCTCTGCTCACCGACCTTATTGCTGCTGTCTCCTCCACCGTCACCGACGCCTCCTTCTTCCCGCGGGTCTTCCTCAAGCTGCTCAAGGCCGGATGGACCTGCTGCACCTCTCCGTGCCGCTTGTATGCCAAGACGTGCAAGGCGTCCGCTTACCCGGGGTCTTCATTGCCTAACAGCAGCAGCAGCGGCGGCGGATGGTTCAGCGCCCACGCGCACGACCCGGTCAGATCAGCCCATGGATCGTGCAATGGCGCTCACGCTACTGGTCCTTCGGCTGCTGCTGCTGCCAGTGATGCTGCTAATGGCGGCACCGCCGATCCGTCGTCGGCCGACGGCGTCGACTGGCTGGTGGAGTCGCAGGCGCGGATGGGCCCCGAGGGCTCGCTGCAGACCGACATCCCGCTGTCGCAAGGCGAGCAGCAGGAGCAGCGCCGGCGGCGACAGCTGCGGTGGCGGAAACGGTTGACCTCAACGTTCCGCAGCCGCTACACGACACCGGCTTCGGGTGTGGAGACGTCTCGGAGTGGTGCTGCGAGTGCAGGTGGCGGCCGGAGGGAGAGCGCGGGTAACGGGAAAGGCACGGACGGCGCGGGTGGAGTGGCGTCCCCGTGCTCGCCTGACGCTGTCACGCCCATCGTGCTGGTTCATGGAATCTTTGGGTTCGGTCACGGGGTAAGGGATCTTACTTCGCGTGCAAGTGTGCGTTTCGGCCATGTGCTTCGCTGAAGTTGGGTTACGTGGTGTCTTGCTGTGCGAACGACTGCGATCAGACTCATGCGGTCATTCAGTCATCTCGTGTCTCTCTCCCCCCGCATCCCCCCCTTCCCGCCCCCTCCCGCCCCTCCCTACTGAATCCAACCCCGCCCCCGCTCACCTAGCGCAGAAGTTCGGCGGCATATCGTACTTCGGCGGCGCGGAGTACCGGCACGACAAGGTGCTGGTGCCGGACCTGGGGTCCCTGACCAGCATCCACGACCGCGCCCGGGACCTCTTCTACTACCTCAAAGGCGGCACCGTCGACTATGGCGCCGAGCACAGCGCCGCTGCGAGGCACGACCGCTTCGGCAAGACGTACGCGCAAGGTGAGCGCTGGGGTGGGGTACGAGTGGCTGGTTGTGAGTCGTGTCGTGACCGCATGGTGGATAGCAGGTCTGGTGTCTCGCTCTTCGAATGGTTCCTCCTCCGTGAAAAAATCGTCGCACGTCACTCGTCCCTGCCTCCGGTACCCTGCTTCCCGTCCCGTCCCCTCCTCCCGCGTCTCCTCCCCTCACGCCTCCCTTCCCTCTGTTCCTGTTCTTACATCGAAGCGCCTCAAAACCAGACTACGTTGACGTGTCCTTGCGCGTTTGTCGGTGCACGTGGCTGGCAGGCAAGCACCCGCTGTGGGACGCGCAGCATCCGATACATCTGGTTGCGCACTCGTCGGGCGTGCAGGCCGCCAGGATGCTGCAGCACATGCTGCACAACAAGGTGCGCGCAGGAGAGGGGAGGGGAGGGGGGTGGGGTGGGGAGGGGCGAGGGTTTTGGGACTCGTGTTCAGGGAAAGTCAGCTCGGCGTATGGGGGATTGGGGCAGCGAGAGTGAGGGTGGTGGGTCGCTAGTGGGTCCACTACGACTTCTGCTACTCCAGTGCCATTCCGCCCCCAGGGCTGTGTGGCGCTGGATGTTTTCCTCCCTTGCTTGCGATTATCTCCTATGTTCGCTCGCGCGTCTATCCCTTGCCATGCGGGGATGTGCCTATAACGAGCCCTGCTTGTGCCTCTCTATCCCTCTCTCCCTCTCTCCCCCTCTCTCCGTGTGGGCGAGCAGGAGTTCCCCGGGTACGAGGACACGAGCGCGGACTGGGTGGCGTCCATCACGTCGCTGTCGGGCGCACTCAACGGCACCACGCGCGTCTACATCGACGGCCTCTCGTACGCCCTGCCCGCTGCCCCATGGTCGCTCTCCCGTGCTCGCTATGTTGCACGCCAATGCCATCGTTTCCAGTTATGTCTTCTTGTTTCCAGTGTCTATGCTCTCGTTTCTAGCATCAACGCCGTGCTCTCCCCCTCTCCCCTTCCCCCCCCTCATCTCAATCTCCTATCCGCTCCCTTCATCACCGACGAGCCAACCCTCCCCTCCTGCTTCCCCTAAGCCTTCCCCTCCCTCTCCCCCCTTCCCCCCCTCCCCGCACCCCCTCCGCCCACCTCGCCCGCCTCCGCCCTCGTCCATGCAGCGTGCGCGACGGTGTGACGATGCGGTCCATGTGTCTGCTGCAGGTACTGCGCATCGGGTCCCTAATCTTCGAATGGCTGGACATCGCGCCGCTCAAGGCCTTCTACTCCTTCGGCTTCGATCACTTCCCGCTCTCCTGGCGCCGCGTGGGCGTGTGGGGGCTCGTGAAGGCGCTGGCGGGGAAGACGGGGCCGTTTGCGTCGGGCGACTGGATGCTGCCGGACCTGAGTCTGCACCACAGCATGGAGCTCAACAAGAGGCTGCAGACGCACCCCAACACCTACTACTTCAGGTCAGGCTCATCAGCGAGGCTGAGAGGGACTGGGTCGCTTACCTATTCTGTCCCCGCCTGGGGCCTGTCATGTTTCCTTTCCCGCCTCCTCCTTTTTCTCTTATCGCACTCCTCCCCTCCCCCTTCCCCCCACCTCCCCTTGTTTGCCTCGATGCGTGCTCACAGCTACGCCACCGTGAAGACGCGCAACCTGTTCGGGTGGGTGGTGCCCGCAGCGCTCTCCATCCACCCGATCTTCACCCTCCGCTCCCTGCAGCTCTGCCTCTGGCGCCTGCCCAAGCACGCCCCCAGACCCTACCCCACCTACCGGTAAGTCCCTGTGCCCTCCCTCTCATGCAGTTCGTCTCCTGCTTCGGGTTCATGCTTGGAAGCACTTCTTTTGGTCTCGCTGTCAAGCCCCCTTTCTCACCCACCCCCCTTCCCCTCGTGCACGCACCTGTCTGTGCGCTCGCTGTTCGTCCCATCCCGTGTGGTCCCATGCAGCGACAAGGACTGGTGGCACAATGACGGCGCCCTCAACACCATCTCCATGCTCTACCCGCGCTTCCCCACGCCGCAGCCCCACTCGCCCCTCCCCCGCATCCAGCCCTCCCAGAGCACCCCGCCATACAAGCCTGGCATCTGGTGAGTGGCCACTCCGCCCACCCCCCACTCCCCTGTTCCCCCCCTCCTCTCCCCCCTCCCCCCCTTCCCCCCTTTTGCACCTGCCCCCACGTCCTCAATTCCACCTGATCGCTGCACCCTCCTGCTGCACCCTCAGCAGCGTTGGCCTCTCCCCGTCTCCCACATTTGTTCTACTGTGAGAACTACTCCTAGCACTGACAGCAGCACGCTCCTCCTAGCACCTGTCGGTTTGTGCGATGCATGCTCCTAACCACCCTGCCCGTTTCTTACTGTGTTCCGTTGTGCTGTGCGGTGTGGCGGCAGGTACTTCTCGCTGTTGGAGGCGGACCACATCCTGTTCATCATCAGTCGGCAGCGTGCAGGCGTGCGCTTTGACGTGCTCTACGACTCCATCTTCCACCGCTGCCGCACCGACCTCGCCGCCCTCTCCATCATCGCCTCTGCTGACGTCGCCACTGCCGCCACTGCCAATGTGGCTGCCGCTGCTGCTGCAGATGCGGAGTGGCTTGGTGCTGAGCAGAGCAAGGGTGCAAATGAGGGAGAGGAGATGCAGGAGGGAGTAGGCCTGTCCTTAAGTGAGGTGACAGCGAAGGGTAGCAGTGGCGGCGAGTTGCTGGGAGAGGGGGGGAATGACAGCAGCAGCCGCAGCAGCGGGCCCACTTCTGGCTCATATCGCCTCGTGACCTCCTCTTCTACACCTTCGTTTATGCCCTCCAATGGTGCTTCGCCACATGGCAAGGGCGAAAAAACTCGAGGTGCAGCTGCTGGGGGGCTGGGCCTGGGAAAGAAGGCAGGGCTGCAGTTGGAGGAGAGCAAATGCGGAGAGATCAGTGAGAATGGGGTTCTGGATGAGGAGGAAGGCGCGTCAGACAGTGTGATTCAGTGGGCTCCTCAGTACAAGTGGGCCATGGGAGAGAGCGAGGTGGAGGAAGTGGAGGGGACTGAGACGAGGTGCTACCGGGAGCAGGAGGAGGAGTATGTGAGAGGTGATGGGTGCCACGAGTGTGACAGGCAGCAGAAGGCTCTGGCTGCCGTGGTAGACTTGTTTGGAGCTCCGCTCACTAACGTGTGCGTTTGCAGCTTGAGGAATGGGCGTGGTGGGAGTGGGAAGCGGGGGAGTCAGAGTGGCAGCAGGTTGCGCAGCAGCATGAGTCTGGACTTCCTAGGGGATGTGTGGGCGTGGAATGGAGGCAAGAGCTTCAGCAGCAGCCGTACTGGTGGCGGGGTCAGTAGAAGCAGCAGTAAGTGTGGGGACAGAATAGGGAAGAGCAGCTGGTGGGCAGGGGCAATGGGAGGGGGTCACAACCGTGGAATTTTGTCCTTGGAAGGGGAGGATCAGGAGAAAGGGAGCAATGCTGTTCATTGTGGTGCGGGGGGCGTCACTGCTCTTGACTGGGGCTGCATGCCGCCGCAGCACATTGAATAGTGCAGCTGCAAGCTTGAGAAGTAACTGCCTTGTGTGTTCTTTTTGTTTTGGCGAGATGCTTTACACTGTAGGAACCATGAAGGTGTTTGTTTTGTGGAGATTGGAGCTAGGGTCATAGTAATGACCAGTTCAAATGGCTTTCGCACTTATCCTAGGTGTTCTTGTATACGGTATATCAGGCTTGCACGCTTCAGGTTTAGTAATCATATGGTAAAAGTACCCATGTGTAGTCAGCACACTCATAATCGTTGGACTGTCAGTCATCTTTCGAAAATGTATGATTTTTCCGAAACTCCCTGCAGTGAATCCGGCTTGAATCGCGTTCAGCGGTCCAGGTTATGGACTGTCTGACCATCAACCACCACCCCCAGTGTGCTGTGCGCGCCGCCCTCCACTAGCGTCCTGCGTGGTCAGGACTTCAAACGTGTCCACATTCCACCGCCGCTAGTCTAGAAGGCTCCAGCGCATCGAATATCTCGCTGTTGTAATCCTGCTCTGCGCGTCCCCCCCCACTCCGTTGCTCCTCGCCAAGCACCGCTACCGCCAATCCTTCTTTGTGAGACCCATTCTGCTCCTCACCCTTTTTTCTCGTCGCCCTCCTGCCCTCGGCTCGGCTCCGCTGGATCTCCTCGCGCTGCCCCCCTGTTCTCCCCCGTAGCGCGAATCTAGTACCTCCGCCACTCTTCTCCCGCTCTACCTGCCGCTACTACCGCCCGTCACCCGCGGATCCCCCCGCCGCCATGTCGCACCTCCACTTCCTCCGGACGCGCCCCCTTCGTCTCCTCGCGCTCGCCCTCCTCGCGCTGCTATCACTCGCCGCTATACGCACCTCCGCCGCCGCCCCCGCCGCCGCGGGGTCCCCCCCCGCAGCTGCGCAGGCGGCGGAGCGCGCGGAGATGAAGCGCAGGCTGAGCAAGCTAGCGGCGCGGCACCCGGTGCTGGTGGTGGGGCGGTCGTACTGCCGCGATAGCCGGAGGATCCGCGCGCTGGTGGAGGGGCTGGCGGGCGAGATGGGCTTGAGCGTGATGGCGGTGCACGTGGACAGCACCGCGGAGGGGCCGGAGATTGAGAGAGCCATGGAGGCCGTCTATGGCACCACCGCCATGCCGCAGGTGACGGACGAGCGGAGGGGCGGTGGGACGGTGGGACTGTGGGAAGGGGGGAACTGGGAGGTGTTTTTGTGACGTGCGGGAGTGTGGGAAGGGGATGCGGGAGGAAACGGGGAGTTGCTATTCAGCTGCATTGTGCTGAATTGGGCTGGGTCGTGCTGGGCTGTGCTGGATTATGGGCACTGTTACACTAAGCCCATAGGAACTTGACGGTTTAAGCGATGGCATGCTGCTGCTTCTGCCAGCTGGCTGTTATGCACCCCACCGGGCCCTGCTGCTTCAGTCCCATGCCCTCCTCGCGGCAATCAAGTCAGTGCCCGGTTCAGGGTTTCTAGAGGGGTCAAACCTAAGCCAGAAACCCGCCGTATTAGACATACAGCAGCGCTGGCAGTCAGGTTCGTCTACCTGCGAACGGGAAGTTGAATTGAACGAGAAGGTACCCGTTTCTTAGAGTTCCCAACTCCCAAGCCTGCCTTGACTTCTCCATCCCCCCTGTGCACCCCATCCCTGCTGGTCCCTTGTGCCATGCACCCCATGTCCCATGGCGCGTGCGCGACCACCAGGTGTTCATCGGCGGGCGGTACATCGGAGGGCGGGACCAGACCATGGACCTGCACGAGCGCGGCAAGCTCAAGGCCATGCTGCATGATGCTGCAGGCGTGCGCCGGGAGCTGTAGGGAGAGAAAGAGCTGGATGGTGCTCTGCTCTCGCTGTGAAGTCAGACTTACTATGTCTGCTGCCATTAGTGGGGTGGCTGGCGTAGGGATGTATTGGAGTACCTCCAGGGATTGGTTGGATTTATGCTGGCCGATGTGCCTAGCCTTGTCCACTGCAGCACTTACTAGATTACTAGTGGAAAGGACAACACCAGATTCATCACAAATTCTACCTACAATTAGTTTCTTAAGACCTACACTGGTGTTAGAACAGGAGGCGGAGAGTAGTGCGGCACAGGTGGAGAACGGCAGCCAAGGGTGGATCCGTAAACCATGTGATCCATTTGGGGATACACACATATGCCCAGGACCAAGCCCAACGCACCAGCGGAACACGCTACATGCTGCACACGACAGAAGCAGGAGACCGGCAGGAGGAAAGAGCCACACGGGAAGAGAATGTTGGAAATCGGGATGGCTCAGCATGGAAGCACATTCCCATACAGCAAACTGCAAACGGCAAACACAACGAGCGGAGCAACGGAAAGGGATGCATGCAAGCTGCGGCGGGCAGCAGCAGCAGCAGGGATGGCACACTCACAACTGCGCGTGCACCTGGCCCCAGCGGCCCGAGCGCATGAGCAGGTACTGCGCCCACGGCTGTGACTTGATGTCAGCTGTCAGATCGGACTCCTGCGCGCTGTCGGACGCCCGCAGCCCCTCGTGCTTGTCGAGCCACAGCAGCACCAGGTGGTCGCTCGTGGGGAATTCCGCGTCCGTGGGGACCGCCTCAAAGGCAATCTGCAGGAGGGGGGAGAAGGGGGGTGCATATGAGCAGCAATGACAGATCATGTGGGGAAGGATTATCCGAGAGTGCAGCAATCACCAGAAGAGGGATATGGTTCACGTCACGACAGTATCAACGGCAACCCCTTGCAAACTGTAGTGGTGCACGCACCATCAATAACATGGATTGTGATCCCCTTTCCCCTTGTCCCCCCCCTTCAGCACCCCCCTTCCTCTCACGCTCACCCTGTTCTCCCATGTCCCATCTTCCCCCGTGCCCCCTGACCTTATCGGCGGTGAGTCGAAGGCTCTGCAGCGTGGCCTCGGTGAAGACGCACCCGCCCGCCTCGTACAGCACCACCACCAGCCGCGCATTGGGCGCCTGCCGGTTCACTGCACGCACACAGCACAGCATGGGCGGATGGTGGAGGTTGATGGGGACAGGAATGGGGAACAGGGGGGACGGGGGGTGATGGAGGGGATGGGGGGGATGGGGGGTGATGGGGAGTGATGAGACAGCAAGGGGTGCGAGATGGATGCAGGAGAAGCAGAGGGGGAGCACAGTGAGAGGGCGAGAAGGGTGAGCTGGTGCAGGGAAGGCAAGAACAGCATGGGACAGCAGTGTGCGCAGTGCAGTCAACCCAAGGCAGCTGTTATTGTGATTGCTGGTGGTGGTACTGGGAGGAGTACCTATCTCCTGTGCGCGCTCCACGTGGTGCGTGTAGTCGCCGCCCTGGTTGAAGAGCGAGAAGCGCCGCGAGCTCGTGATGTTGAGCGGCACCAGCAGATACACCGTGGGGGGGTCGTCGCCTCCTGAGGGGATAGAGACAGGGGTCAAGTCAAGCAGCGCCAAGGACGGAAAAGTAGCGATGGTCGTACAGCAGTCCAGATTCTCATGCTTTAATCCTACACTAGTCTTTCTCCTCTGCACACTTCCTCCCTCTGCCTTCGCCAGCTCACTTCACTCTCTCTCCTGCTTCTCACTCTCTCTCCCGCTTCTCTCTCTCCCGCTTCTCCCTCTCTCCTCCTTCTCACTCTCTCTCCCACATCTCACTCCTCCCCTACTCACGCTCTCTGCCGAAGTCCACGTCAGTGGCGAGCACGATGGCGAGGCGCGACCCCTTGCCGCCCTCGAAGGCGTCCACCAGCAGGTCCTTGCCGCCCTCCGCATCCACCAGTCGCAGCCGTGCGGGCGGCATCACCGGGATCCACCCGTACCCGCCCTCCACGCCGCCCGGCTTCTCTGTGGGGGTCGTAAGCGGGAAGGCAAGGGGATGAGCGCGGGGGGGGGGGGGAGACATGAGAAAGGGAGTGGGAGAGGGGGGCGGAAGGTGTGGCAGGCTGAAACCCTTAGCTGGCCGCCCTCTGTAGCTGGCCATCCTCTCAAAGAGCCCCCCACACAGAGGACACCATCGGTGGTGACACCTCTTGAAGCACGCCTAAACAAGCAGAGCACCGAGGACCCACCAGTCAGTATCATCCTGTGAATCCTCAGGGCTACTGGGCAGTGCGCCGTGGAATTAATGGGTTGTATAGGAGCACGCTGACCCCCCCCCCCTCTCCTCCCGCCCCCTTTCCCCCTACACTCCCCACCCCTCAACTCTCACTGCGCAGAAGGAGCACGTCAGTACGTCCCGCGGGATGAAAAGAACGGCCCTAGAGAATTAGCGTATATGAGCACCATTGAGAGGCCGTCTTACTGAGACGCGTCCACAGGGAACACTCCCCCCTCCCTACTCCCCCCCCCGCCTCCTCCTTTCCCCCCCCCTTGCGCCCCCCCCCTGGTGTCTGACCGCGCATGAAGAGCACAGTGATGCCACCGCCAGTGAGGCCGAGCACGAGGAAGAGCGAGAGCATGACGGTCTGCAGCAGCGTCACCTTCTTCTCCAGCGACTGCACCTTGCCGTCCGTCAACACCTCGTTCAGCCGCCGCTGCGCTCGCACCTGCGCTGGCCTGGGATGGGGAGGACGATGGGCGGGAGAGGGGTGTGAGAGAGGCACGGATGCGGGTTGAGAGGGCGAGAGAGCGAGAGAGGCGAGAAGCATGAAAGTGGAGTGGATGAGAGGAAGGCATGGTGAAGGGTTGCAAGGGGAGGCATGGCCGCATGGGCAGGGCTGAAAGGGGGCGAGAGGGTGAGCCAGCACCTAAGGCAGCAACACCCCCAGTCACCCCTTCTGACCGACAACCCCACTCACTCACCTGCACTCTTGCACTTCAGCGACAAGCGTCTTCCTCTCGGCACTCCACGCGACGCGCTCCTCGCCGGCGTGCACGGCGGCCTGCTCCAGCGCCACGATGCGGCTGACGTTGGCCACGCGCCCCGTGGCCTCGCACGCCTCCAGCTCCTCCTGCAGCCCCCGCTTCGCCTGCTCGCACGCCGCCCGCTCCGCCGCCACGCCCTTCTGGCAGCTGCCCGCGCCCTTCTTCTTCAGCTGCCCGGACGAGAGGGGATAATGGGTGGGCGGGGTGGAGGAGAGGGACAGAGCAGGGGACGGATGAGGATGGGGGAACGGTGGAGTGGAAGGAAGGGTTGATTGTGAGAATGAGAGGAGAAGTTCGAGTGGAACCCATCCCAACCGCTGCAAAGCTACACGCTCTGCTGCCCCATCCTCGCTTCACCCCACCACCCCGCCCCTTCACATCCCCAATCCCCTCTTTTTCTCCCCCCTCTTCTCCCCCCCCCCCCCTCCCTTCGCACCCGGATCTCGCAGTGTTCGAGCTCGGCGCGGATGGCGTTGGCGTCGGTGTCACAGTCGGCCCTTATCCCCACTCTCTCGCGGTCGAACGCACTCGCCACCACCTGCCGCTCGCGCTCACACTCCATCTCCAGCTCCTGGAGGGGGGGGGGGAAGGAGAGGCGGGCGAGGGGGAGAGACACACAGGCAAGTGCAAGGAGGGGAAAGTGGAGGGTGAGAGAGAGAAAGAGAGAGAGAGCGGGTGAGAAGGAGCGGAGAGGACGGGGAAGGTGTGTGAGGGCAGGAGGAGTTGGGAAGAAGGTGATGCATGAAAGCGGAGGAATGAGAGGGCGACACCACGTTACCTCTTCCCACACTTTCCTTCTTACACTTTATACCCCACCCTTCTCCCCCCCTCCCCTCCCCGAACCCCCCCCGCACTCACTCGTTCGCGGATGCTCCTCTCCTGGTTGCAGCGCAGCCACTCGGCGTAGCGCTGGTCGCGCTCGCTGCGTAGCCGGTCGAACTGCCCCGCGCGCGTCGACGCGTCCTTCACCGCGTCCACGTACGTCTCGCCGCACCAGCTGCGCCGCACGGGGAAAGGGGGAGGGGGGGGGGGGGGAGTGAGGGGGAGGGGGAGGGAAAGGGGCGTGGGTGGGGGCCGTGGAGGGGGAAGGGGAAGGGAAAAGGGAGGAGGCGACTGAGGGAGAGAGAGAGGGTGAAGGGAGAGGTGGTGCTGGGCTGGGGTGACGAGAGAGGAAGCGGCACTGGGAGGAGGGGATTCAGCGCGCGATGGAGCACGGGATAGAGCATGTACCGCTGCACAGCGCTCAATCATCCCCTTCCCCTTCTTCCCCTTCTCCCCCCCCACTTCCCCCCCCCCCCCTCCTCTCGCCTTCTCTCCTCATGGCGTCCCATTTGTCCTGTTCTTTCCCCTCCTGTCCCCTTCTCTACCCTCTCTCCCCCCCCCCCCCTCCTCCCCCTCGGCTCGGCGCGCACCTGGAGAGAATGGAATGAATAAGGTTCTCTGCGTTGGGGTCGTTGGCAGTGGGCCACACCCATCGCGCCGCATCTGCAACGGCGAGAAGAGCACGCGGGAGCAGCGGCGGGAGGACGGAGAGAAATGCGAGGGAGGAAGTGAGAACCAGAGGGCGGAGAGCAACAGCGATGGGGAAGAGGAGGCGGAGAGCTGACCTAGGGAGTACGAGCCCTCCGACACCGACGATGTAGTATCGTTGAACGACGGCGAGAAACTAGTGCTGGCCGCCGTGCCGCTGCTGCCGCTGCTCCCGCTGCTCCCACTACTGCTGTCACTGCCGCTCGTTGTGCCCGCTGACGGCGCCGACTCGGTTGCTGCATCACTGGCGGCGGCGTCAGCGGCAGCGGCAGGTGCGGCGGTGGTGCTTTCCGCCACGACTGGCCATGTCCCCGCTGCTGCTGCGAGGATCACGGCTGCGAGGGTGAGCAGTAGCGCGCGGCGTACTGACGCCGCCATAAGAGGCGCGCTGCAGTACGGTGCAATGCGGTGCCTGCGTTTCTTAACGGGGTGCAGGTCCTGCCGCGGCGAACCCGCTCAGCTGGTTTCGCCGAGGAAGTGGACGTAACGAGAGTGGCGCGGGAACGTCACTAGGATTCTCGGAGCTCTCAACTACTCGTCGAATTAAAAATGAAGAAAGAAGGAAAGAAAGGGACGAACTACGAAAAGAACCTAATGGAAGACTATGGATCGGCGAACAGCCAGAACGGCATACGAGCGGCGTGATTCCTAACAAGCTCCAACGGCAATACGAAATGCGGTAGTTGCTACTGATGCATCGACGAGAACTGGAGACCTACTGATGGAAAAAGTCTGGTTATTACCAGCAGACGGCATACAGCGAGAGCTGGCGAAAATAAAGCGTGAGTTAGTAGTCTCTCTACTGGAGACTAGTTGATAGCAACCCTAGAACCAGTGAACATGCGAGTGGTTGTGGTGGTTGGATGGTCAGCGTTTACAAGATCGAGAACAGTTTATGGGCGATGATATGCGAATTACAACATCCAGCTAAGACAGCTTTTTCCCGAAGCAGTGCAAAGAGGATGCTTTATAAGAAGGGAATTGGCTTTCTTATCGCGTATAACGTGTTATTTTCTGGCTGCGGATTCTTAGTCGGCACGTAAACGCGCACCAACACCAGTCTTTCGAGGAGGGTTCAACAGAGAGGGAACACCATTCCATCCCCCATTGTTGACTCGCTAGTTCACTCGCCCCCTAGCGCCAGGCCCAGGACAGGACCACGTAGCAGCGACAGTGTCTGGGAGAAGGCATTCAGCGCAGCTTCAGTCGACTTCGCTATAGCGATCTCGGTACCTCTGCGACGCTTCCTCCTCCCCCTTTCTCGATCGCACCTAACCAAGCAAGTGACTTAGTATCAAGCGTCGGGTTTTAGTCCTAAAATGATCGATCTCTGCGAAAGACCCCTCCAGTAGGCCCATCCGAGCCCGTCGCATATAATTGCCGCCCTGCGGTTAGGTGGACAGCATTGCCGCGTCGAGACTTTCGAGGCGGTCGGCGGCGTGCAGTGTGGCGCAGTGCGGTAGGGCGGGGTGCCAGCCATGGACGTGGTGTTCTTCGATTCGTTCCACCACCGCCCGTCGCCCGACAACGTGGACGAGGTGGGTCGCCGTGCACTGCGCGCCGCTGCATCGACGCGGACGAGCGAGTTTAGGGACGAACGACTCCAGGGGCGCGTGATTGCGGGGACGAGCGACACTTATCGATTAGCGGTTTCAACGATTCGCGAGTCTTGCGATGAGGGAGCAGTCGGCTAGCCGTTTAGGGATCAGCCTAGCCGGTGCAGGCGTTGCTGCTTCAGGTTGTTGCCGTAGGGGCAGCGTACCCCGGCGATCCGTGCCTATCCCCGACCTTAGGTCGCTCGCTATAGTACCTCCCTGGACTTCGGAATGCATCAGGCGTTTCAATTCATCCCGTGAACATTCATTCTATAGCGTATGCACACTATGCCCTTTTAACCCCTCGCTTGACTCATCTCACTCCCCCATTTTCCCGTGCCTTGCTCTTCGTCTCTCCCCCCTCTTCTCCTCGCGCCTCTCCCCCCCGGCAGGTGCGGTTCCGCGCGCCTCTGCTGCTGAAGGCCTTCCATCTGCCCGCGCCCGATGCGCCCGTGCACAGCCCGCTGCTGCGTCGCTTCAAAGGGTACGACGCGCACCACCTAGTGTGTGCACGGCAGCGTGTGGCCGCGTGCACCTGTACCAGCTGGACATGTGCCGCTTTGCTTCTCCTCCTCCACCTCCTCCGCCCTCACTTCCCCCTACTTTCCCCCCTAACCCCCTCCCCTCCGTCCCCTCCCCACCCCCCTCAAAATCCCCCCGTTTCAGAGTGACTCAGTCTGAAGCCTTCACTCTCGCCATCTACGCGCACATTCTCCCCCCATCATCTGCGCCCTCCGCTGCACCGCATGCTGCCTCTGCCCCTGGGCCTCCCCCTGCTGAGCCAGAGCTTGCTGCCAACCGTAATGGAACAGCAGCAGCAGCAGCAGCAGCAGCAGCAGCGAAAGGTGGTGATAGAAGGGGCGTTGGCGGTAGATCATTGGGAGATGGTGGCAGGGGTGGTGTGGGGATGAGTGGTCCGTGTGCTGGGGGCGAGTTCAGGTTGATCTACCACACTCAGGGCTCAACGGAGAATGTAACGACTGCCGTCAAGCACATTCAGGCACGTACGCTCGCCCTGCTTCTCCCGCCCGTGTTCCTGCGCTCTATTCTCTACCCCTGCATTCTTATGCCTTTCCACCTGTTTCAAGTCACTCAAATCTTCTTCCCCCCCCCCCCCCCCCCCCCGCCGCTCCTCCCTGTGTGCGCTCATCCCCCCCGCAGCCGCTACTCACAGACCACATAGTGCTGCGAGGCTCCTACTGCTCTCTCTCCCTCGTCCTCTTCGGCTCTCCCCCCCCCTGGCCCTCCCCCACCCTGCGGGCTCTTAAGTCTCGTGCAGCCAAGGGACGGCGGGGGACTGGAGTGGGGAAGGGGAATAGGGGCCTGGCGCAGGCGCCCTGGGAGGGGGAAGAAGGGGGAGAGGGCGCAGAAGCGGAGGTGGTAGGTGGGAGATGGGGAGACGGCGGTTGGGAGGAGGAAATGGTAGTGGATCCCAGTGCGGACAGGCTTCAGAGAAAGAGGAAACGGGGTGGGGAAAGGGGCGAGGGGGGGCGGGCAGGGGACGATGTGAGCAGTGGGGCGGATGGGGAAGAGGAGGAGGATGCGACTGGAGGAGGCGAAGTGGGGGGAGAAGGGGATGAGGAGGGAGTGGATGACGAAGGGGAGCAAGGGAGAGGCAGGAGCAAGGCGAAAGGTCACAGGCAGAGAGGTGACGAGGAGGGGAGAGAGGAGGAGGATGCGCTAGTGGTGGTCGGGAGGCGGGCGGCAGCAGTGGGGGAGGCAGAGGAGGGCAGGCAGCGAGCGGTGGCCGTGCTGCGGGCGTCAGTGCGGCTGTGGCATGGGCTGGCGTCGGCCCTCAGCCATGCTGCTGCGGATGCCCTCCTGCCGCTGCTCTCCTCTGCTGCTGCTCAGCTCGCAGAGCTCAGCATGCTGGCTGTTGACATGGGCGAGAGGGAGGCCGGGAGATGGAAGGGTGGCAGGCGCAGGAGTCGCGGGGGGAGGGAGGGGAAGGAGGCAGGGAGAGGGGGGATGCGGAAGGGAGGATGGGGGGATGTGGAGGGAGGGGCAAGTGGGGGGGACAAGGAGCGGAAGGAGTGGTGCATGGTGGTGCAGGAGGTGGACATGGCGCTCGCGTGGCTGCACCATGTCGTCTGTGCCTCCACCGTCCTACCATCCGTACGCTTCTCCCTGCTCCATGCTTCCCACCTTCCCTCCCGTTTCCCGCTCCCCCCTCCTCTTCCCCCTCCTCCCTCCCCTCCTTCCCCCAATCCATTTCTCCCCTGCTCCCTTTCCCCACTCCCCCCTCGTCCCCTTCCCCGCTTCATTTCACTCTCCCTGTGTTTCATCACCCCCCTCCTCTGTGTCCCCCCCCCCCCCCCCCCCCCCCCCTTGTGTTGCTGTACCCTCATGCTTCCCTGCCCACCCGCAGGTGGAGGAGACACAGGTGGCGCTCGCACTCGTGCACCTCGTCGCCTTCTCCCCGCGCCACTGCCTGCTCTTCTGCCGTCGCAATGGCCTGCAAGGGCTCCTCTCCGCACTCCACCACCCACGCTCCTCCCTCCCTCCCTCCTCTAGACCCCCCCCCTCGTCCTCCGCCTCCTTCTCCTCCACTGCGGCGTCGTCTCTCCCCTGCCTCGCCCTCTCTGCGCTGCTCTGCTGCTGCCGCCACCCCTTTGCGTGCGCGCTGCTCTTGCAGCCAGATTCGAGGGTGCAGGGGAAGGGAGCGATGGCGGAAGGAGGCAATGCCGTGAAGAAAGAAAAGGCTGTGGAGGGGGCAAAGGGTCCGGCTGGGAGTGCGCAGGAGGCGGAAGGAGGAGAGAAAAATGAGGAGGAAGGGGGGAGGAAGGCGGAAGGGAAGGAGGGGATGGAAGTAGATGGGGAGGGAGAGGGGGAGGAAGCAGTAGAGGAGGAGCAAGCGGGCTCAGGGAAAGAGGGCGCACAAGGGAAGAAGGAGAAGGGAGAGACAAAGAAAGGCGACGGGGTGACGGATAGGGATGCGGGGTCGAGTGGGTATGAGCAGGTGTTGGCGTTTCTGGTGCAGTCCAGTCGTTGCCGCACGCCGCTGCATGTGGGTGTGGTGGCGAGTCAGGTGCTGCTAGTGCTGCACCGCCATCACATGTGCCTGCGCCTGCAGGTAATTGCTGCTTAAACAGACTAACTGCTTCCTCCACTCCATACTTCCATCTTTCTCTCCCCCTCCACCCTCCCCCTCTCCTGTCTTTCACCATCCTTCCTGTGCGCGTTTTGCCTGCATTTATCCTCCCTTTCCTTCCTCCCCTCCTCCCCTCTCATCCGCACACAGCAGCAACCCCTTGATTTCCTCCCATCTGCCCCCCTCTGTTGCAGCTTTCGGTCTCCCAACTGCTTCACCTGCACGCCCCCTCCTCTGCGCGCGCATCCTCTCTCACAAACCCCCAGCTTCTCATTAAGGGCCCAGGACTCGCACTGGGGGCAGGGGGGGACAGAGCCGCGGAGGGGGAGAGGGGGGTGGGGGAGGGCGGGGAGGGGGTGGTGGAGCAGGGGGAAGGGGCGAAGGGGGAGGGGAGTGCGGGGGAAGTGGTGGCGGCCATATCTGTCCTGCTGCTGGAGGCACAGGTGGGGCGGGAGGGGTTGAGTGTGGCATTGAGTGACAGGGAGAGGAGGAGTGGGTTGTGGTATCATGGGGGGAGGGGGGCAAAATAGCAATTCTCCAGGCAGGATGCACCCTTGTCTCTTGCCACTCTCTCACTCTCACATGCCACATTGCCTCTCGCTTTCTCCTACTCTTCCTCTCCTCCGTGTCCCTCTCTTTTCCCATCAGCTCTCTGCCATTCTCCCCGACTCTTCTCATCCTTTCTGTCCTGCCACCCTTTCCCCCTCCCTTCCCGCATCCCCCCCACTCCCCCCGCAGTCGCTTCTCATCCGGCCACCATCAGCGGTGGCAGCAGCCACGTCTGGTGCCGGCAGCACGAGCAGCATGAGCCTGCTCATCGCCTCCTCCCTGGCCCGCCTCGCATCAGCGTCTGCGTCAGCTGCTGTGTCCAGTGCGCACCACGCCATCAAGCCCACCACCATGCTGCCGCTGCTGCTCTCGCGCCCCTCCGCACTCTCCTGCCCGCTCGCGTCGCCCCTGTGCCCGCCTCTGCCGTGTGGGGATGCGTCGCTGTTTCTGTCACCGCTGCTGCCGCACCTGCTGGGAGGGTTGGACGTCGATGCTGTGGCTGTGCTCAAGGTAGGCTGTGCTCAAGGTAGGCTGTGCTCAAGGTAGGCTGTGCTCAAGGTAGGCTGTGCTCAAGGTAGGCTGTGGTCAAGGTAGGCTGTGGTCAAGGTAGGCTGTGCTCAAGGTAGGCTGTGCTCAAGGTAGGCGGGCTCAAGGTACGCTGTGCAGCAGAGCCCAAGGCTGGAGTCAGTCAGCTTCAGCTGCACATGATATGCTTTGAAATTCGCTTTGTTTTCTTGCTTCCCCTGCTTTAACTTGCTGCCTCTGCCCTCTGTCTCTTCTAACCCCTTCCCCCCTCTCTCGCTGCTCCGTTTCTCACACCAGGGCTATCGCTTCCTGACTCTCCTTGCAGCAGCAGTAACTGCTGCCTCTGCCTCCCCCGCCTCCTCCTCCTCGTCCCACCTCGCCACTGCCCCGCTGCTGCTATCTGTGCACGTGCCCCCATGGCCGGTGCCAGCTCTGCTAGCACCACTGCATGCCATCGTGCTGCCGCTGCTGCACTGCCGCGAAGGTCCGTGACCTTCCATGGTTTTGCCTTCTCCTGTACGGCTTGTGCGTGTTGTGTGTGTGTGCGTGTATTCTATAGATTTGCGCACGTTCTACAGTCGTGTGGATATCCCACGTCTGTGCTCTCGACTCTCTCCCTCTCGATGCTCTCCCTCATCCCCACTCCTCTGCTACCCCTCCCCCCCTTCCCCCCCCGCCCCCCCCAACCCCCATCACATCCCCTGCAGGCCTCCTCTTCCTTGCCTCTCAGCCTCATTCCACGGCTCTCCTCGCCTCTGCCCTCAGGGATGCCCCTCAGGGATCCCCACGTATTCAGCAGCAGCAGCAGGAGCACGGGGGCCAGAGGCGGCAGGTGGAAGGGGTGCAGGGACGGAGGGGGCAGGGATTCTGGCGCCTGGCGGGAGGCCGATTGCTGCCGTGCCGCCACTTGCTGGCGCTTGATTCGCTGGGCATTGCCACGTCACCATCTGACGTGGCGGCAGCGATGACTGAAGTTTTGAAAGCGGTAAGTAGAGGGGTGGAGCAGAGTTGGTGTGTAACAAGGTTCAGTATCTAGCAGCCTGGTGCCACTTTTCTGCTCCAGTAGAGGGTTCTCATCACCCACTCCTTCCCCTTGGACTCCATCCCACTCTTCTCCTCACCCCGCCCTGCCACCCCTCCCCCCTTTGTCACCAGGCATCTCTGGTCGAGAAAGCGGCGGCAGCAGCGGTGGCAGCAGGGGCAGCAGTGGGCGTGGCAGCTACCACGTCGTCCCTGTCCCTGGGAGTGTTTGGCCCTGCTACCCGTGTGCCCCTGCGCTCTGCTGCACAAGTGAAGGCTCTCCTGGCGCCTCTGCTCTCCCTCGCCACCATGCACAGGTAGGAGGAGGGGACAGACTACCCATGGATTGCAGCTGCCCATGTGCCACTAGCCCCCCATGCCACTAGCCCCCCGTGCCACTAGCCCCCCGTGCCACTCCCCCCGGTGCCACTAGTCCCCGTGCCACTAGCCCCCGTGCCACTAGCCCCCGTGCCACTAGCCCCCCGTGCCACTAGCCCCCGTGCCACTAGCCCCCGTGCCACTAGCCCCCGTGCCACTAGCCTCCCGTGCCCCTAGCCCCCGTGCCACTACCCCCCGTGCCACTACCCCCGTGCCACTAGCCCCCGTGCCACTAGCCCCCATGCCACTAAGCCCTGTGCCACTACCCCCCGTGCCACTACCCCCGGTGCCACTAGCCCCCGTGCCACTAGCCCCCCATGCCCCTACCCCCCGTGCCACTAAGCCCCGTGCCACTACCCCCCGTGCCACTAGCCCCCGTGCCACTAGCCCCCGTGCCACTAGCCCCCGTGCCACTAGCCCCCGTGCCACTAGCCCCCGTGCCACTAGCCCCCATGCCACTAAGCCCTGTGCCACTACCCCCCGTGCCACTACCCCCGGTGCCACTAGCCCCCGTGCCACTAGCCCCCATGCCCCTACCCCCCGTGCCACTAAGCCCCGTGCCACTACCCCCCGTGCCACTAGCCCCCGTGCCACTAGCCCCCGTGCCACTAGCCCCCGTGCCACTAGCCCCCGTGCCACTAGCCCCGAGCCACTACCCCCCATGCCACTACCCCCCGTGCCACTAGCCCGGTGCCACTACTACCCCCTGTGCCACGATCCACGGTGCCACAAGCATACGCAGGAAATGGATGATCATTCCACCATGCATATCTATCTCACTTCTCCCCCTCCCGTGCTCTGCCTTGGCCCCTATTTGTGCAGGCATGAGGCATCCAGGCAGGCACTGGCTGCTGTGGCAACATTGCCTGAGGTGCGCTTGAACCATCCACTCGCCCATGCTGTGCTTCCGCCTATGCTGTGCCCCATGCTGTGCTACCGGCCATGCTGTAACCTGATTGCCAGGAGCATCTTTCATGTTGTTTCCCACATCGATTTCTTGTGTTCCTTCTCCAATCTCCTTCGTACCGCTCCATCTCCCCATGCCAGTTGTCCTCTTTACCCAACCCGTCCCCCTCTCTGTCCTTTTTCCCTCTCTCCCATCTCATGATTTCCACTTCGCCCTGCATCACCACCTTGCCCTCACTCTCCCCTGTCCATGCGCCTGGCAGCTGCTGCAAGTGCTGTACCTTGCCATATTCGCCATCGAGCATCCGCTGCAGTCGCGAGGCATACCCTCCTCCATGGCGCCTGCCGTGCCCTTCAAAGGTGAACCAAGGTCTTCTTTGCGTGAACCACAACGACTCTCAGGCAGGTATCGATGTACCCCGAACGGATTCATACGCAGAGTCTTCTCTTTGCTGCCATGATCATCCCCTTCTCTTCCTTCCACTCCACCACTTCCCTTCCGGTCCCCCATCCCCCATCCCCCCCCCCCCCCCGTTCTCCTTTTCCACCTGCCCCCCTCCCCCCCTCACTCGCCCAGCCTTCGAGCCCTCTCTAGCGCTGCTCTCAAGCCGGGCATGCCACGTGCTGCTTGTGCTGCTGCGAGACTCCTCCCTCTCCACGTGGCAAGCCGTTGCCAACGGCGGGGCGGCCCTGCACGCCGCGGCCACTGCTGCTTCCATGCGCCTGCGCGCATCGGACCTGGTGCTAGGGTTTGAGGAGGCACGTGACTGGCTGGAGGGGTGTGCGGTGTTTGGCATGAAGGGGTTACCCGGGCTGATGGCCCTGGCAGGCGAGCTGGCGGAGGGCGATGCTGCTGCTGCCATCAGCACCATCGCTGCTGCCGTTGCTGCTGCTGGGGAGAAGGGGGGAGGAGGAGGGGGGAGAGGGGGGTCTGGAGGAGGAGCAGGGGAGGGGAATGCGGAAGGAGGAGGTAGTGGAGGGGGAGGGGAGGAGGAGGAGAAGGGGAGGGAGGGTATGGCGTCAACCACGCTGCTGCCACCGCTGGTGCAGCTGACGGGAGCAGTGAGGCTGCTGGCGCTGCTGTCACGACACACGGTAGGGACTGGGTAGGGAGACACGCTGTGCAGTGATTATGCTGGCGGCTTGGATTCTGGTACAGGAGATGGGTTGGCTGGTATTGTTACATGATGCAGTGGCAGAGGAAGGAGGGACTTGTTTGCACTGGTCTGTCACTACTCGATTTCCCTGAACGGCATATTTTTATTGTCTGGTGCTTTCCGGTGACCAGCTCCTTCATTCCTTTGCTTGCTATTTTTTGTCCTTTCTTGGTCGGCATGCATGTGCGTGCTCTTGTGCATGTGTGTGTGTGTGTGTGTGCATGGTCGCATGAATGGGAGAGCAGGACATGGCAGTGGACATGTTCAACGAGGGGGTCATCCACCTGCTGCTCTCCCTGCTCTCCCTCGCCAACTCCGCCTTCACCATCGCCGGTCAGCGCTCTAGCCCTACCAATGCCCCTCTCCATATCCCACACCACACCCCACACACTCTTCGCAATCCCCATCTCCTCCCACTCGTCCATGTCTCCCTCCCAGCTGCTGAATGTCTATCGACGCATCATCGCTTCCTGTGTGCAAGGACATTCAGGAAGGAGCACCCATCATCGCTTCCTCTCTCGCCTCCCCTTCTCCATCCATCCATCCACAGCACCTCAGCAGGGGGGGTCCAGCGCATCAGCGCACGCAGCGTCGTCCCGTGCGGCGCGTGACTCGTCGGCTCTGCACGCAGATCTGCTGCAGGTGCACGCGCAGACGCGCCACCTGCTGCTGCCCGCACTGCTGCTGCTGCGCACCATACTGGCCCGCCTGCAGGTATGCGCCGCATGTGGTGTGTGTGCGAGCGGGTGGGTGGGTGGGAGGAAAGGGCGGCATTGCATGAGCCACACTTGTGAGTTGGCATGTTTGCATGGGCCCTTTCCTAACTTGGGTGTCGGTGCATGTGCTGCTCTGGGTGCAGGCGACCGTGAGTGAGTTTCGGAGCACCAAGCTGCTGCACGCGCTGCTGGACCTCTACCTGCTGCTTAGGTGTGTCCCCCCTTCCCCCCCACACACACACATACATGCAGAGGGGCAGGTAGCTACATACACGGAGTGAGGATCTGGTTACAGACAGACGTGGAGGAGTGCGGGCGAACCCGCGTGTTGCACACTGCATGGACCCACGTGTTGCACACTGCATGGACCCACGTGTTGCACACTGCATGGACCCACGTGTTGCACACTGCATGGACCCACGTGTTGCACACTGCATACAGGTTGAAAGACAGTATTTACACATAAGGAACGTCCATGCAGTGTGCAACACGCGGGTACACACAGGCGTGTTGCACGCTGCATGGACGTCCCTTATGTGTAAATACTGTCTGTCAACCTGTAACATGTCCCATTCATGTGCTCCCGTTTCACCATGCATACGTTTCCCCTTTTCTTCACCATGCCTTCCCCCCACCCCCGCAGCACTCGGCCAGCGTTCCACATGCCCATCACTGATTGGTCCTGCCAGTCAGAGGCCGTAGAGCTGCTGGCGATCCGCCAGGCGCTCACGTCATGCCTCGCCTTTTGGCTCGCCTCCCAGTGGCGCCCCGCCCTCCTCCCGCTGCTCTTCTCCCGCTCCCTCCACTCCCTCCGCACCCCCTTGCCCTCCGCCTCCTCTGCCGCTCCCACTGCCCCTGGCTCTGCCCCTGCTGCTGCCCCAACTGCTGCGGCGGCTGCTGCTGCAGGGGCTGCAGGTGCTGCTATGGCACAAGGTGCAGGGGTGACAGGAGGAGCAGCAGCAGCGACAGGGGTAGCAGCGGAGGGTAGGCAGGAGTATGCTGCAGTGGGACCCGTGTCTCCCCTTGACCCCGCTCGCCTCCCTGGCCTTCTCTTCCTCCTGGTATGCCTGCTGCTGCTTGTTTCACTTGTGAGCTAGTCTGCTTTGCCTGCTCCTGCTGCTGCTGCTCTGCCCCTTCACATTTCCAATGCTGCCATAAAACACAATCTTCTTTCTTGCTTTTCCTTCCCAGACCCTCACCCTCTCTCTTCTCTTCCCTCATCTCCCCCTCACAGGCGGACCTCCTCCAACAGCCACCTCCCTTCCTGCACACCCGCCACTCCCCCCCTCCCTCATCCTCCACCCCACCGCCCACCACCACTCCCGCCACCTCACCTCCTCCCGCCGCACCCTCTATCCCCTCCCTCTCCTCCTCTCCGCCCCCACTCCCCTCCTCCTCCGTCCCTCCCTGGGCATCTCATGCCGTGCTGGGGTGGCCGCAGAAGCAGCAGGTGGCGGCGGTGGCGGCGCTGGGGAGTGTGGTGGGGATGGGGCCGCACATGGGGGAGCTCCTGTGGTTCACCGTGGATGCGGGGATGAGAGGCAGGGTCAAGCGCAGCATGGGCCAGCACATGCCCGCGCTGTGTCGCATTATCTACCATTTCTCTGCCTCCGTGAGTGCTGCGTGCATGTGCTGCGTGCGTGTGCTGCATGTGTGTGCTGCGTGTGTGTGCTGCGTGCATGTACTGCGTGTGTGTGCTGCGTTTTTGTACTGTGTGTACACCTCCCCCCATCCAAAGTCCAGCTCCCCCCATTCAGAGTCCACCCTTCCCCCATCCAGAGTCCACCTCCTCACCATCCACAGTCCACCACCACCCCATCCAGAGTGCACCACCGCCCCATCCAGAGTCTGTCCTCCATGCTCACCCTGTGTGTGCTGCGTGCATGTGCTGCGTGTGTGTGCTGCGTGTATGTGCTGCGTGTGTGTGCTGCGTGTATGTGCTGCGTGTGTGTGATGCGTGCCTGTGCTGCGTGTGTGTGCTGCGTGCATGTGCTGCGTGTGTGTGCTGCGTGCATGTGCTGTGTGTGTGTGCTGCGTGCATGTGCTGCGTGCGTGTGCTGCATGCGTGTGCTGTGTGTGTGTGCTGCGTGCATGTACTGCGTGTGTGTGCTGCGTTTTTGTACTGTGTGTGTGTGCTGCGTGCATGTGCTGCGTGTGTGTGCTGCGTGTATGTGCTGCGTGTGTGTGCTGCGTGCATGTGCTGCGTGTGTGTGCTGCGTGCATGTGCTGCGTGTGTGTGCTGCGTGTGTGTGCAGCGTGCATGTGCTGTGTGTGTGTGCTGCGTGCATGTGCTGCGTGCGTGTGCTGCGTGCATGTGCTGCGTGCGTGTGCTGCATGCATGTACTGCGTGTGTGTGCTGCGTTTTTGTACTGCCTGTGTGTGCTGCGTGCATGTGCTGCGTGTGTGTGCTGCGTGTATGTGCTGCGTGTGTGTGCTGCGTGTATGTGCTGCGTGTGTGTGATGCGTGCCTGTGCTGCGTGTGTGTGCTGCGTGCATGTGCTGTGTGTGTGTGCTGCGTGCATGTGCTGCGTGCGTGTGCTGCATGTGTGTGCTGCGTGTGTGTGCTGCGTGCATGTGCTGCGTGTGTGTGCTGCGTTTTTGTACTGTGTGTGTGTGCTGCGTGCATGTGCTGCGTGTGTGTGCTGCGTGTATGTGCTGCGTGTGTGTGCTGCGTGTATGTGCTGCGTGTGTGTGCTGCGTGCATGTGCTGCGTGTGTGTGCTGCGTGCATGTGCTGCGTGTGTGTGCTGCGTGCGTGTGCTGCGTGCATGTGCTGCGTGTGTGTGATGCGTGTGTGTGCTGCGTGTGTGTGCTGCGTGCATGTGCTGCGTGCGTGTGCTGCGTGTGTGTGCTGTGTGTGTGTGCTGTGTGTGTGTGCTGCGTGTGTGTGCTGCGTGTGTGTGCTGCGTGCATGTGCTGCGTGCGTGTGCTGCGTGTGTGTGCTGCGTGTGTGTGCTGCGTGTGTGTGCTGCGTGTGTGTGCTGCGTGTGTGTGCTGCGTGTGTGTGCTGCGTGCGTGTGCTGCGTGTGTGTGCTGCGTGCATGTGCTGTGTGTGTGTGCTGCGTGTGTGTGCTGTGTGTTTGTGCTGCGTGCATGTGCTGCGTGTGTGTGTTGCATGCGTGTGTTGCGTGCGTGTGCTGCGCGTGTGTGCTCCATGCGTGTGCTGCGTGTGTGTGCTGCATGAGTGTGATGCGTGTGTGTGCTGTGTGCGTGTGCTGCGTGTGTGTGCTGCGTGTATGTGCTGCATGTGTGTGCTGCGTGCGTGTGCTGCGTGTGTGTGCTGCGTGCATGTGCTGCGTGTAGACATGGGCAAAATGCGATTGCGATTTAAATCGCATCGCATCGGGGGGCGATTTAATTAAATGCGATGCGACTTTAAATCGCATCGCGCGATTTAATTTCTGGAAAAAAAATCGCACATGGCGTTTTGTGCGCGATGAATATTAAAACCGCATGCGGTATTTAATTAAATCGTGCAATGCGATTTTAAATCGCATCGCGTTTTAAAACAAGAATAAAAAAACACCCCCAAAAACCAGAAAAAAACCATGGCTGCCAGGAAATTGAATCACGGGCAGTCGTAAGCTAGAGTGCAAATAATCAGTGTGGTTTCGTAGTGGGTTTCAGAGTGGGTTTCAGTGCAACATCGCGCGCGATTTTTAAAAATCGCATATCGCATTTAAATCGCGTTTTTTAGCGCGATTAAAATTAAATCACGTGTTATAAATTCATCGCATGGCGCGATGTTTTTTTGGTTTTTTTTTTTTTTTTTTTTTGTATTTTATTTTTATTTTTTTCGCAATCGCAAAAACGCGATTAAATGCGATGCGATGCGAATTTTTTTTTCCCATGTCTAGCTGCGTTTGTGTGCTGCGTGCATGTGCTGCGTGTGTGTGCTGTGTGCGTATGCTGCGTGTGTGTGCCGCGTGCATGTGCTGCGTGTGTGTGCTGCGTGCGTGTGCTGCGTGTGTGTGCTGCGTGCGTGTGCTGCGTGTGTGTGCTGCGTGCGTGTGCTGCGTGCGTGTACTGCGTGTGTGTGCTGTGTGCTTGTGCTACGTGTGTGTGCTGCATGCATGTGCTGTGTCTATGGTGCCATGCTCCCATGCATATCCCTCCTAGGCTCGTATTGCACATTTCCCACACTAACCTTATCTTCACTCTCTCCCTATTTTCTCTCTCCCCCCCCTTCCCCTCACTACAGACATCATGGGTTGTCCGCGCATCCCTATCCTCCCTCATCCTTGTCCTAGCAGACTCTCTCCCAAACGCCACCACCACCACCACCTCAGCTCTCTCCTCCCAACCGCTCAGCACCACTCCTTTGCCTGCCAGCTCCACCCCAGGCACCTCCTCCGTTGCCTCTTCCTCCTCCTCCTCCTACCCTGCCCCTCCTCCCCCTCCCTCGCAAGCTGCTGCCGGCCAGAGCGCAGCAGATGGCAAGTCAGGGGAGGAGCTGGGGGAGAAGGCGATAGCAGCTGTGATAGAGAGGGCATGCGAATGTCTAGAAACATGGCTTGCGCTAACTGATGAGAGGAAGATTGCTACTGTTGCTGCTCCTGCGCCTGCTGCTACTGGCGCTCCTGCTGCTGCTGCCGCTACTGGTGGGGGTGCTGCTGGTGACACTGGTGGTGCAGGTGATGGTGCTGGGGACAAGGGTGCGAAGGCTTCAGGTGAAGGCGAAGGAGGGGGGGGAGGGGACGGAGCAGGAGCAGGAAGGGGAAGAGAAGGAGGGGACGTGGGTGGAGGAGGGGGGGTTGGAGTGAAATCTGGTCCTGGTGGTTCTGCTGGAGCTGCTGCCCCTGGGTCTACCACACACCCAAACGCCCCTCTCTCCTCTACTCCCCAGGTCACCCCTGATGCTGCTGCTGCTCCAGCCACAGCAGTTGGTACTGGTGGGGCGGTTGGAGCAGCAGCAGCAACAGCAGGGGCCAGTGGTGGTACTGGCGCTGCAGCAAGTGGACTTGCGGGAGCAGCTGAAGCAGCGGTTACAGCAGCAACAGCAGCAGCGGCAACAGCAGTAGGAAGAGGAGCAGGAGCAGCAGCAGGAGGAGAAGGAGCGAAAGCAGGAGCAGCACCAGCAGGGCAGCCAGGGGTACCAGCAGCAGCAGCAGCTGAAAAGGCCCCAGGGGGGGCTGGTGGAGGGGTGGCAGGGGTTTCAGCAGCAGGTGGCGGTGTGGCTGGGCTGGTTGACTCGGGAGGGAAGAGGGCTGTGGCGTCGCCGCTGCTGCTTGCCGACCTTGTGTCTCTGCTGCACCTGCTATCACAGCTCATCGTCCACCCCTCTGTTCAGGTACTCTCTCCGCGTCACTGCACACTCGCGCTTGGCAATCGATGGGATTCTTGATCAGTGCACTCATCAACTCCCCTCCTCTTGCCCCTTTAGCAACCATGCTAACATTGCTGTCACCTCCTTGGTATGCCTCCCAAACCTCTATACAATTCCGAACATCTCTTACTTGCCTCATTCGACAACCTTGCGCCAGAACCTTGCAGTCCTCCCTCAGCGTCCCATTCTCCCCCATCCCCTGCTGTCCCCCCATCCTCCCATCAGTCCCAGGCCCTGCAGCACAAGTCCTTCCCTCGCCTCCTCCTCCACGTCCTCACGCACTCTGGCAACCCTTCGCTGCTCCACACCGCACTACAACCAGTGCCCCCTCAGCAACAAGCGATGAAAGCAGCAGCAACAGTGGGGGTTGGAGACGAGGTGTCAGGGGTGGTGAGTGGCAGTGGTGGTGGCAAGGTGGCAGCAGTGGACTTCCCTCCAGGGTTCGTGGCAGTGAAAGAGCGTGCTGAGGTGGCCGCTGCCAGTGGCGAACACGGCAAGCCCTCACAGCCACAGCAGCAGGGGAGAGGGGCGCAAGGAGTGCACGAGGAGAGCAGCGGTGTCGCCAGGCAGATGGAGCTGGTTACCCGCCTTGGGTTGCTTATTGCGTCGGCTCTCTCCCTGCATGCCATGCAATCACCCAGGTACACCACCTCCTTCATTCAACCTTGCTCCCCTGGTCTTCCACATATCTTTAAACAGACCATGCCATGTGCTGCTTTTGAACCCATGCCATGTGCTGCTGCCACTATCGCTTCAGGCCTCCTCTCCCCCTCCTCACTTTCCCCACTGTTCCTCTCTGTGTATGCTTCGTGCAGTTTCCACCAGTTGTGCCTCCACCAGTACCGCCTGCCATCACCGCCCATCGTCCTCCCACCGTCTGCTGCCGTGACTTCACTGGCTGCCAACGCACTCGAAGCAGCAACTCCAGCTGCTGCTGCTGCCACTGGCGCCACGACCACCACAACGGCTGCCACCACCAGCAGTGCCGTGGGTGTGATGGGTGTTCAGCCGGCAGACACACAGCAGGAGCAGCAGCTGCAGCAGCAGCAGCCACACGCCAATCCCGACGCCTCTTTGCCGCTCCCATCCCCACGCACCCCTCCTCTCCCTGCTGCCGTGCCCGCCTGTGTCTCCACCTCAGTTCTCCCGCCTCCCCTGGACGCC